GATATTGCCTGAGCACTTCTAAAGACAGGAGGCTAGCCAACGTCTTTCCTCTTCTTGACTTATGGAAGTTCTGTAAGCCTGCAGGCAGTAGTATATATATTTCTGCACTTGATTATTGTTTTAGTTAGTTAATAAATCAGACTTATTGACATGCTACACATGATATCCTCACAGATTCAATCTGCTACTTTTGTAGTTGTATCATTTTAACCCCTCTTGTTGTAGGCAGGGATCAGTGGTAGGCCTCCAGGATGAAGAGTGGGCCAGTGTGGCATACCAGGCTGAGAAAATTCATCTATTTGCGCTTATCCCTTTGTCTTTGGATTATGCTCTCTCGTCCACACAGTTCAGTGTCATTCCCAGGTATGACTTAAAAGGTCTGATAAGATCACTGCTAAAATCCACAAAAATTATGGTTGAAGTTTCTTTGGGAAAATAAGTTTGTGCAGTTGAAAAAATAAATATCAGATCAGGCTCTTAGACTTAACCAAATCGGATATTCATACAAATATAGTTTATTTCTTAGAGGAAATAGATTTAATAACCTTTCAAAAATATAGTTTAAGAAATGAGTGTCCAGAAATTCTCTAGATTTTAGATTTATGTGATGTTTCTTTTTGTGCAGAGAGAGCAAGACTTGCGCCCAGCTGGCAACTGTTTTTGTCAAGAATCTTATCAGTTCAACCCAAAGCACGAGTTTTTAGCCACTGCAGAAAGGAAAACATGGTAGTTTAAAAGTTGTCTTTGGAAAGAAAAGGCATGATTTACTTATTGTTTACCATCTTAATTCAAAGTACATAAAAAAGTTTCACTTAATACAGGTAAAAAGGTACTCTTTTAATTCACATCCAGTGTTCTAGTATTTATGCATTTCCTAGGAAAAAAAGTTAAATGGATGAATTGTATTTGATGTAGTGCATTCTCAAAATTGCAAGCAACATACCAGTTTAGAAAAATTACATAGAAATTTATTGGGTAGCTTGATATCATAACTGTAGTAGATATAGTTGCATATATTTCATATAAACAATGTCAACTTGTTAGTAGCAGAAAAAATAATTGCAGGATGTTTCCATGGCCTGTTAACCCTCTATATTAGGATAGAGGTTTGGGAAGCAATACCTGAACTAGCAAAGATGAAGTGGCCAAAGGAAGACGAGGAAGAAGTAGCAGTGGACCTTGCCAAGCTGCTGGTAATGTGCGACTTTGCAAAATTTGCAACTGAGCTTCTTGGCAGGATGAAAGGGAGAAGTGGTGAAGGTGAGTATTATTATTTTTTTTTTTTTTTCTTTTCTCTCCCTTGACCTTTTCTTTTCTTTTCTTCTTTTCTTATCCTCTCTCTCCATGTATTCTCCCTTTTTCTTGCCTTTTCTTGCTATATCTTCTTTGTTTTTATTCTACTTTTCCCTTCTCAGCTTCTCCCTTTTGCATATGCACTTTATCATTGTACCTTTATGCCACATAAAATCAGGGTTTACATAAATTCATGAGTAACTCTGAAGAAAAAGAATTAGATGTTTGTTTGTCTTTTTTCTGTTATTTTGTTTGAACATTTATTTATATCCAGTATCCATAACATATTTCTTACCATTTGACCTGCTTTTTTTTAAAGAAAATTCTGAAGAAGACACAGTTAGCAATGAATCAGAATTTGCAACAGAAAGCAGGGAGGACTTTCAAGGATCATCAAAGGTGAGAATGTGATGAGTAGGTTTTGTGAATAATGCTGGGAGAAGAATTCACTGTGGTATTGTTTTGGTGGGTGCCTCTACGGGTAGATAGCTCCACCAGTGCTCTGCCACCAAGTAGTCAATTTCTAGACCTCATTACCTCATCTTATTTCACCTTTCCTTGAGTTTTTGTGTTTTTTGTTTTTTTTTCTCTATCAGATCTATCAATATGGAGTTTGTTATTGATTATTATTATAGAAGTTATAACATTATGATATTGTCAACATTATTAAATGCAATATAAGCTAGAAGAGAATATTCCAAAAAATTAAGGGAAAGGGTTGACCAGAGATAGGAAATGCCAGTAATTGGCTCATTGCAGACTAAGTACATGTGGAGTCATCTGTGTGTAAAGTTAATGAACAAATTAAACTTACATTGAGAATTGCATGTCTGTATATGTCATCCCCAACAGGATCAGGTTATGATTTTTTATAGGGATTATTATGTTTTATCTGTAAAGTTTTGTGCCATTTACTGTATTATTGTATGATCTGAAAATATGATTATTACTCCTTCAGATGTGGAAGAACCTAAGCCTGTAATATATTTTTCACACTAGGCCTTCAGATGTGGAAATATGAAAGTCAATAACATGTTTTTCATTTTTTTAAAAATAAGATAAGATAATAAATGCTTGATAATTTACAATAAAAAGGTAAAATTAGATTATTTTTCCCCAACAGTTAGAGTTTAAGACTGGAAAAAAACTGGTATCAAGAAGTCGAGGGTTAACTCGAATGATTTGCCATAAAAGTGGCAGCAGCAGTAGCACAAGCAACCTAGAATCAAGTGCTGAAGGACTTGATACATCTTTTCAGTCATCTGACCGTGGTAGAGGCCTGATGAGCATGTTGGATTTTTTAAAATGTGGAACCTCAACTCCCCTGTCAGTGGGAAGCTCCAGTGCTGATTTGCAATTGAGTTTGTCAAATGAGTAAGCATTATAACTTTGTTTCCATTACAATAAGTGGTTTACCATATTCACATTAATTTTTACACATATTTTTGTATATCATTATGGAAATTTTTATTTATATATTCATGCTTTCAGAAAATCTGGAAGAAGCCCAAAGACAAAGTTATCTGAATTGTCAGGTGAAGCTGAATGCTCGGAACTTGATGCAGCTTCTACTTTATGCCTTGAAGAAATTCCTGTTCCTGCATCATCAGGACAAAGAAGCTTAACAAAAGGGTTATTTCCAACACAGAATGAAGAAATTAGTGCTAGTAACAAGTCCAATCTCTCATCATCAGAAAAGAAAAGTGATGGGAAACAGTCCTTGGTGGATGAGATTTGTTTGGTAGATTCTTCAGCCATAAAGACTGTTCCTGAGTGTAGTGTTAAGGTATCCCCTCAGAATGATGAAAATTTTACAGGAAAATCTGGACAAAAGGAAGAATTAAAGGTGGAATCACCTGGTGGAAGAGGATTATGCCTTAAGCTTAGCATATCTGGCTTATCTGATGTTAAAGGGGTGAGCAAAATTTCTGACTCTAAAGAAAGTCATATATTGACAAAGAATTCAGAAAGCATGCAAAATGAAAAGTGTAAGAAGGAAGTCATAGGTATGCATGAAAATAATAGGAAGACTATTAACTACAGTGCAAGAAAGGTAAACAGTCATCTTAATGCCTCATTTATTTCAGACTCTCGAGATGTTTGGGACAGAGAGGAAATGGGAGATGTAGAAGAAGAATTGACAATCTCATTAAGAGAGAAAATTTTGCCAGAGGGCCCTTGCATTGCAAAATTATTCCGGATATTTATAGCTGGGGAGTCCCATGTTGCTGAAGAAGAAGTAGTTGTTAATGAGAATATGGTTGATGCAATACTGAATAGTTATATCGTAAATGTACTAAATGATTTAGATATGAGAGCAACAAGACTGCAGGCATATGCTTGGCCAGCTATAACACGTGGTACTTCAGCCATCATTGTAGGAGGCAAAAGGAGTGGCAAAACTCATGGTTATATTGTGCCTTTGATTTCTGTTATACTAGACTCATGGCTGCACATAAGCCGTCGTCTTTCCCAAGGTATTGGGGCTGTTTTAGTGATTGTTTGCAAAGACTGGAGAAATGCTAAATATGCTGCTGATTCTTTGGTTAGGTTCTTACCTGCGAAAATGTCACTGAAAGTCATCACAGCTTGGGGAGGTTGTGGCAATGAAGAGGTAATTGATACCAACTCGCAGTTACTTGGTGGATGTGACATTCTGGTTACAACAGCCCCATGTTTGGTGAGGCTTCTAACAGGCAAAACTACAGAATTTGCAAAGGCCGACGAAGAAGGTGGCACCAAAGCATTTACGTCCCTTGCTAGGTGTTGCTATCTTGTATTTGATGACGTTGATTCAATCTTGGAAAATTGTGCAGTGGAAGTGAAACAGATACTTACTTACTGGGGCGAAGGAAAGAGCAAAAGTGATCGAAGGGATTTTGAACAGCAGTTACTTTTAGTGGCATCATCGTGGACCAAATTATTGAATTCATTGACACAAACAGTAACTCCTCTTCTTGAGCCAATTATTATTGTTGCTGATCCATGGGAGGCTGTAATAGCTACTAGAGTGTGTACCTTTGTTCACAAAGTAGAGAAGATAGGGACAGAGCAAGATAAACTTGTTGAACTTTTACAAGACAACAGACATGGAAGGATTTTGGTGTTTATGGGGGATGATAATCAGGGAAGGAATCTGAAAATATTACTGGATGCTGTGGCTGTATATTCCTTAATTGTAACAAGCTGTACTACAATGTGGGTCATGAAGTCCATTGTCCAGGAATGGCACTCTATAGCAAATGTAGTTTTGATAGTCTGCCAAGAGGCTTCATCACTCCTCCTCATGTATGAATTAGCAAATGCAGACCTCATTATTCATGCAGACATACCAAACTCCATTGGTAATTTCAAAATGAGGTATGCCTTTATGGTGAATAATTTTTCAAAAGATTTAAATCAAGACACCATAAATTGTGAGTCTCACATATTATTATCCAAAGAATCTGTGAAACGGCTTCCTCCTCTTGTGTTTGAAATAGAAAGGGCTGGTAAAATTCCAAGAGAGCTGCAACATGTAGCATCAAAAATTATGACAACTTGTAACCAAGATGATGCTCTTTGTTATTATTTAAAAGCTTATGGTAAATGTTGTATAGGTTACAGTTGTGGATTTAGGCATAGAATACAAAAGTTTGATGCTGAGAGTGTAATTCCAAGAAAGGGTGAAGTTACTTTCAGTGTTGTCAAAGTGATAAATGCATCACGATATTTAGTACGCCTCTTGAGTTTCAGGGAGAAGGCAGGGGTTCCTGAATTTGACTTGAGAGATCACTACCTGAGGTTGTTCATGGCCATACAGCAGTATTTTGCTGACCCTGAAAACTGTGAGCAGTTGATCAGCATAGAACCAAGAATGCTCTGTGCTGTCAAATGCAAGGAAAAGTGGGCAAGAGGACAAATTGTAGAAGTTGATTACTCAAGACATATTGCCATGAGTGTTGTGTTTCTCTTGGATGAAGGAAGTGATGTAACTGTAGAGCAAAATTCCTTATACATCCTTCCGAACCATCTGGCACTGATGCCACCACTTATTGTTGAGGTTTATCTCTGTAGAGTTCAACCCCTTGACTTTGATAGGGAATGGACTTTCCATGCATCAAAGTACATTGATGATATATTCAGCAGCAACATAAACAAAAGCACTTTTGTTGGACAAATTGAACTAGCACTTGGTTCAACACTTTGGCTAAGCCCTGTGACTGAGTTAGCACAGGCAGGTAAAAGTAAAGTAAAGATGGAATCTCTAAGGTCTAGACTTATTTCTAATGGATTTGGAATCAGCAATATTGCTCACATGGAAAAGCTGAAAGAGATTTGTAAAGAAGCAGATATATCCTTAGAACCTGAAGACCTGTCATGTGAATTGTTTAAGACAACTGTGGAAAGGGCACTGGACTTGCTAAAAGATACAGAACAAATTGCAGAGAGCAGTAAGTTGTCTGAATTAAATGAGCAGAACAGCACCAAAAATCAGCCTAGAATGAACAAAGCATGCACTAGAAGCTTAGAACAAGTTGATTCTGTTGAAGAAGACGAGGATATCAATAATGATCTTGAGAAAATAGGAAACTTAAATATAAATGCGGAAAAGTCAGTCAGTCCTAAAAGTGAAGCTATAGGTACTCATTTGTTACAAGAAACTTTGCCCTTGGATACTGATGTGGAAGTTGGTGTTGCAGAAATAGAATCTCCTGACTGGTTCTTTATTCAACGTGCAGATAATTATGAAAGGTACAAGTATCCAGTTGTGATAATTATTTCATGTTTTATGAGGTGATAAGTTTTTACTCTTGTACATTGAAAGAAATGTTTAAATCAGTCTACATATTTTACCATTATATATGTTGGTGCTGTATGTATATATATTTGTCATTATTTTGTGCAGGCTGGATGAACTTGAGTTAAAGGTCCAAGAGATAACCAAGCATTGGCTAACAGACAATAAAGAGAGTCTTCATGAAAACTGCTTGAAATGGGAGGAGCACCCATGTGTTGAGGCTTCTAGATACTGTCTGGCAAAGTTTTCTGATGGCAAGTAAGAATCATCAACAATTGTACGATTTCATGTAATTCATAATGTTTTCTTCCCCTTTCTTTTCCTTTTCTCTCCTTTTTTTCCCTCATCTTTTTCTCCTCTTTCATACTTTTTTTTTCTTCTTTCTTTCCTCTCTTCCTTCCTTTTGTCTTTCCCTAAGCAAGTCATTTCTGAGTATGAGTTAGGACCATTGAGTGCCCTTTACAAGAAATAACATTTTTCAACCATTGCCAGTTACTACCGTGGCTGGGTGGACAGAGTTACACCAGATAACACCTGTAAGGTCTTTTTTGTGGACCATGGAGAGACCCTGATTGTACCTTCTAGTCAGGTGAAGTATAATTTAAGTTTTTAGTTATTTTAAGAAAATAAACAGTATTAAGATGTTGGTATTATACGCAGAATAAAATGGTTGTGAAAAGATAATTTTACACACTATTTTTTTGAGGAAGGAATAAGACTGAAGCAAGTAAGCATAGCATAGGCATGTTTTTTTCTAGGTTCAGTCATGTCCATCATATCTTTTGGACCTTCTCCCTGCACAAGCCATTCCATGTTGTTTGGCCAGTTTTACTTATCCAACAACAAAATTAAAAGATGTGAAGAGGACTATGGAGAAGTTGGCTGATTCTGTTGACACATGGATAGCAAAGGTGATTATTTGGTCCCTTTTCTTTTCATTTCTCATGTCTTATGTTTTTGTTAAAGTTGTTCTAACTTTTTTTCCTCTTCTTCTTCAGTCTCTGGTAATTGCCTTAAACAGCATTCTTATGTGTGACCAATTTTCATTGTGAATAGTAGTGATAATTAAATAAATTTTGGTAATACAAGTTGTTCTTCCAGGTTTTAGAAACAGTTGAATCAGAGGATGGGAAAATGTACAGGGTAGAGTTAACTGATAACTCAGTGGAACCACCAAGGCAGATGTCAAGAGAGCTCATGAATGCACACCAATCATTGAAGAAGAATTATAGGGAAAAACAGGTAGAATATCGTAGTGTAATAATTTAATTGATATATTTATGTTTAATGCTTTGTTTTATTTTCTTTTTAGTTTGTTTTTAGCCAAGGGTATTTACATTATTTGACAAAAGTGGTTGCAATTATTTTCATCTGTAAAGCATAGTGAATTGTAATCAACACTGTTGACATTTATACTGGAAGTGTCTGTATTAGCTAAAGTCATTGGATTTTTTTTTTTTTTTTTTTTTTTTTTCGTTTGTTATTTTGTTTAAGATAGATTTTAGTTTCAGCTTATTTTTTTAATTATTGATATCTATCATTTCCTTTTCATGAAACCAGGACAGGGAAGATATTGAAGATAAAAATCATGTGGAGTCAACAGGATTGCTTAATGCTTCATGCTTAGACAAAGAGGAAGCAATGACGTTCTTACAGAATTTGCCCAATTTCAAGGTTTGTATGAACTATGGCCAATATTTTTTACATACAGTTTGAAGATAATGTATGATTTAATTTGTTTTATCAATTTTACTTTTTCAAAGTTCAGTTGTGCTACCAAATATAAGGTTCTAAATGAGTAAATTTCTAGTTATTCCAGAGGCAATAGTAATCAGTGTCCTTTTGTTTATTAACAGAGCTCTCTTTGTGTGTGTGTGTGTGTGTGTCTGTGTGTCTGTACATGCATGTGTCTGTGCATGTGTGTATGTCTCTGTCTGACTGGGTCTGCCTGTGTGTTTTTGTCATTTCTGTGATTACACTAGGAGGACTATTATTAGGGAGTGTAGATCATTGGTTAAAAGGTACTTCAAGGGGAATTTCAACTTGTGTTTTGACCTATGTAACAGTCTCTGAAAAAATAATCCATATGTAAATTAAAGCTCCACTGTACCTTCATTGTGTATTATATTGGGAATAGTAAACAAAGTATTTTTATGCAAATGCAAAAGAAAAGGATTGTTTGATATTTTTGATTGCAAAGCAAATAAATGAATAAGAGATCCTATGTCTTTATAGTGAAGAAAAACAATTATTTAGCATAATTGTAATAGTCCTGAGTGATAAATTATTTTCCCATCACCATGATAGAAAGTATTCCTCATACAAATGCAGTAGTTTGTCTCTTTTTATAGGAACATTGAATATCAATAGTAAGTAGCACTTTGTGAACAGAAAAGTACATGTGAAAGACTTTTTCCTTAGATTAACTCACATATCACTGTTACAGGAATTGTCAAAAGCAATCAGGAATAATAATGCAGAAAAAAAAGTCCAAGAAGAAACTGTGGCAGACCTTCAGAATTCATATGATTTGCCTGGAGTTTTACAAACTTATAATACCCTTGACAAGTCAGCTTGCAGTTCCAGCAAACAAGAAGTGGAGTCAGGGAAAAATGAAAATGCAAAAGAGAAAGAACTGACACATCACAGAAAAACAGAAAAGGCCTTTGATTCATCACCAGAAAATGCCTTTAATCAGAACCATAAAAATTTTCACAAGGCACATATGCAACAAGAGAGCACTAAACCTTATGGAAAAGCAAAACCGTCAAAGGCTGATACAGACTTGTTCAACCAGCTATGTCTACTTGTGCCACCGCTTGAGGCTGTAAAAAGCATTACACGTAGGTTATATCCTGAGACAACCTGGAGTCAGACGGACAGCTTGGTTGTAATCAATATACACGTGCCAGGAGTTGAGCACTACAAGTGTCGGTTTTCAAGGAATCATTTGGCCTTTATGTAAGTATTATTTTGTTTGATTTGTTTCTAAGTAGATTCATTATCAAAATTCATTACTTTGTGTCCCATAGTAGAAATAATGTAGGTTCATTAAATCTTCATATGGAATTGTCAACCCAGTAACAACAGGTGTCTCACATGAGACACCTGGAAAAAAAAAGTTGCTGGCGTCCCACCAGTGTGATGCTGTATCGGGGCTCGCTCTCCGATACAGCCGCCCGGAAAATTTCGGCTTCAAAATATACCGGCGGTAATGGGTTAGAGAAGTACCTTGACTGCATTATGTTTTTATTGTTTTGAACTTCTTTTATCATTTTTAAGGGTGATCTACACAGTCATCATTGCTCCTAAAACAATTTAGTGCTTTGGAGAAAAGTAGTATTAAACCAAAATTCAGAACATTGTGTATGAATAACTTAGGAATAAGTATTTTAAGTGTGTTTTTGTCTTTGTTAGCATGATAATTTTACTTTGTTTGTGTCTCTCCTTTTCTCATGCAGGACTGTTGTCAGAGAAAAATTCTATGTTATTGAAGAGACTTTGGCAAATGAAATTGAGACAGATTCATGTTCTCTCAAGTTAAAAGGCATGACTGTGCATATTTACCTGACCAAGAAATCAAAATGTAAGTCTTTTATTTTTTGTTCTCTTACTTTGAAAAGTTTTTCCACTTTCTTCCCATGCAGTATGTTTTCCTTGTTTTTTACATAACCAAAGTTCAGAATGTTAAATAAATTATTAGATGATGCAGGGAGATGGATGTAAAAAAAAATTATGATTTTAAACATTATTGATGATTATTATGTGGTATTTATAGGTACATGGCTCCTCCTTTTTGCTGAGAAGATGAAACGTCCATGGTTGAAGATGGCCTACCAAGGCTCAAGCTTAGACGATGAAAAGTCATCAGTATCTGCTCTCAGAAGTAAGGTCAAGTGCATTAATTTAATAGATTTCAAGATTGTGTGAGTGTGTGTATGTGTATCAATTTTATTGCGTATTATTACTAAAATGTCTATTTTCATGAGAATTGATAGAGTTGAATGTAAAAATTTATTGGATCTAGCAAAATGTACATATAAAATATACACATAACTGATTATTTTTTGTCTTTTAGAATCATGGACAGACTTGCAGATTGATGAGAACAGCTATGGAGGATACCCAGCTGGCATGAGCGACAGTTCAGCAGATAGTCAGTCAGATGAAGATATGGATGACTTAATCACTTGATTGACCATGTGAAACCTGTTTATCAGTCATGTTGCATGCATTTATTATCCAGATGAAACTGTGGAAAGAATAACAATCTACTTTGTTAGTTAGGAGTTGTTAAAAATATATAATGGCCATGGATATTATTGTATGAATTAGTGAGACTGATTACAGCCTGTTATTGCTGGGTAGGCTCTGTGCAAAAGCGGAATTACAGGTTCACCAAAAATATATTTAGTATGACATTACTTTCTGCTAGATTGGCCAGTCTGATAAAGGGGCTATCACAAGAGGGCAAAGTTTCATGTACTTCCTACCTTATGCAATTTATTATCCTATCACACAAATCCATACATTTCAATCTGTACATATATTTGTGCTCAAAGACTTTGTAGGTACATCTAGAATGGTTTGAAAATTATTCCAGATTTTTCTTTTATTATCTCATTGTTGATTTCATAAGTTGTGTCTGCTGGACTTGTTCCCATTATTATTAATTATTTTTTATAAAAAAATATTTCTACTGATAATTTGCAATTTTCATACCAAAGCTCTGCATTGAACTTTTATAATAGTGTATTAGAAATGGCTCGCTGGATATTTTTGGTGGACATAAACTAATCTGTACAAATTTGTAAAGTATGCTTATAGAATGAAGAAATATGCAATAAAGTGCAAAAATCAAGCTTTTGCAATACTAATAACAATGGACAAGTAAGTCAGGTGATTAGTATTTTTGTAATTTTCAAGTAACTATGGCACTTGAAGGAATTTCTTTTGTGCTCATAAAATCATCAATATTTCTATGTATTTATGGAATTATGCAGTAATGTTACAAAATAGCATGTAATTGGGTTTATTGGTCTCGTTTATTTCCTTTCTTAAAATTTATACATTAATGGTATCCTTCAGATACTTTACCTGTTCTCTAAATCTCATTTTTTAAAATTATTTATTTCTTCATGTAATATCTAATCCCAGTGTTCTCGAAGTCTAGACAGTTATTTTAGCTGGCAAAGGTTTCTTAAGATGTTACTCATTATTCCATGAAATAATTTTGAAGCAGATGTGCAGTATTCCATGGGATTATTTTCTTGTAACTCTTAACCCCACGAATCCGGATGCTTCACGACAGTCACGTGGCCCAAAATCCAGTCATTGGGCTTTCGTGAGTTGCCTCAAAAATACAAGCATTAGGCTTACATTAACAGCCTCTTTGCCAAGTGCATGGCTTGTCGGCCAGGCACAAACAAACACACGATAGGAATAATGCAAAAGACCCTTTCTAAATATCAAAGGAGTCTTATCACCCTCCAAGAGGTTTTAACACTCATGGTAAATTATTCCCGTCACCCTGGCCTTCAGCCAAAATGCTCATGACAGCAAGTTCGCCTCACTGCAGCCCACAGCCAGATTTTCCCTGGACAGCATGTTCATTTTACCGATCCCTCAAGCCAAATTTTTTCATGATGTGATGGTTGTTATCTGGATCATTGGGGTTAATTTAACTATGAGACAAAGTTATTTATAATAAGTAATTTTGAATTGCAATATTGCAGGAGTGTTCTCACAATAAGCATTTTCTTTTTTCAAACCTTTAAAAAAAATTTTTTTTTTAATATAGCTATTTGCAGTGTGTCTGTAATGGAAGAAATATAATTTTTTGTTCTTTTTAAAAATGAGTTCTGTAAAATATATCTACAGAGTAAGCTTATAAATAAATATTTTCCATTCATCTGGAAAGTTAGTGAGTTGTTTCCTTCAGAATTACATGTTTAAAAAATTAAGAAAAAAAATGGACAGTAATTTTTTTCAGTTGTATATCAGAGATAAGTTCTATTTCTCTGTATGGTATTTTGTTTATGATAGATAATTGATACTGATAATTGTACTCGAAATTTTCAAGACGAATTTGCAATTTTTGTTTAGTTTATATATTTCATGGAATAATTATCTCAGAGTAATTTATAAAGATTAATCTAAAAATAATAATAAAGTATTCTCGGAAAACAATCTTGACTTCATACAATCATTTAACCTAAAGCACCAGAAAATAATCAGAGCACTGGAAATTATTTTTGGCCAGCCATGCTTAGGAATTAATGGTATTGGAGCCATAAAATAAATCTAAAGGTCAGTCATAGATGTGACACATCAGTACACTAAATAATCCTGTCTGTTTTAAGTAAATTAACACAAGAAATATGTGTTACGTTTTTTACCTAAATTCATATTAACCCCCTTGCACCAGGTGAGACACCTGGAAAAAAAAAAAAACATTCCTGGGTGCCCTACCAGTGTGACACTAGATCAGAGCTTTCTCTCTGATTTTGTCAACTGTGGTGGCCCACACCGAATTTGAAGCCACCCAGAAACTATTATTTTTGGCTTGAAAATGTACTGGCACTAGTGGGTTAAAAAAAATTTAAACATTGGTCATTTCAGTTTTAAAATGTTCCATTTGAATTCCATTTGTTACAATGGATATTCTTTTTGCCGCTATATATTGTCTGTTTACTTGCTTCTAAAGCACCCTGTTTGCATGGAATGGCCTGTGTTTCCATCCACTGACAGTGTGCAGGATTGAACACAGGTCAACAAGATTGCTAAATAAGAACATTGCCCGTTACACAGGTGTCTTATGAGAGTTAGTAAAATTTGTCCTATATCCTCCCCAAAAATAATTTTGGTTTATGATCAGGGGCATCATTTACAATTGTTTTATTGGCCTAAATTACACCTTTATAGCTCTGGTCATACCCTAAAAATGCACCTAGGGTTGCTCAATTCAGAAGAGCGTGCAACACACCAGAAACTGATTGTGGTCACTTTACTTACCAACCATGCAAAATGAAGCCCCTGATTTAAAAATCCTAAGTAATTTTTGTATACAGTAGTTACTGGGTTAAAAAGTAAGGGCGGGTATGACAGGCAAAATTCAAATATATTGTACTTTATGTCCAATCATGCACATCAGTGAATCTACTCTCATTGATGTTTATAATGCAGGATGATTTTAAAACTGTTGTCTCACTTTCTAATAAATTGATAATGTCTATACTGTTTTTTCTGCCACACTGTCAACTAGGTGTTTTTGTCACTTACTATGTGTATAGGTATTTCATTAAGAAATCCTATAAGTAAAATGCAAACAATACATGCCAAGTTAAATGATAAATCCATTTATAATAGGCTGCTTAAATTCCTAACTGTCTAAACCCAATCAGTCGGCCCTCTGTAAACATTTGGCATTTGCTGCCAGGTCAATCTCTCTACTGACTTCCTGGTCTGACAGCCTAGAATCTTGAACTACACTACTAAGGGCCGTACTTTAAAAACTTTCGCCAGTGCTGGCGTTCGCCTGGCGAAGCTTCGCCTGGCGAACATCTGAGTGAGGGAGGCCTTACTTTTAAACCCAACGTTCGCCAGGCGCTAACATCTTGCATTCCCGCTAAATGTAGCGCAAATTTGTTTACATCTGCAGTGCACATAACATAACCTAAACTTAATTATTAACCTCGAGAGAAGACGAAAATGTTTCCGCAATAGTCTCACTTTATACTATAACAAAGGAGTTAAAATTTAACTTTATGCTATAACAAAGAAGTTGAAAATATCTTTATACTATAACAAAATTAACTTTATACTTTATGCTATACTACACTTTATACTATAACAAGGTTAACTTTATAGCCCGTACTTTTAAAACCTTTTGCTTTTTCTCGCGTTTTTTTTTCATTCGCCGAAGCGCTAGATTTAGCAGGAATCCAAGATGTTAGCGCCTGGCGATCCCTTTCGTTCGCCAGGCCTGGCGAACACCTGCCTTAGTTTAAAAGTAAGGCCTCCCTCACTCAGATGTTCGCCTGGCGAAGCTTCGCCAGGCGAACGCCAGCATTGGCGAAAGGTTTTACAAGTACTTTATACTATACTATATCAACCTTATACTTTTATACAAAAAATAACTTTATACTTTAACAAGAGTTTAAAAATTACTGTTTTACTAAGCCTAACCTGTAGGCCTACAAGGGTATCATTAAAGACGCCTCATTATAGGGCGATGGAGCACTACAGCTCTGTTTCTATAGCCAAAAGTAAACATGCCGCCATAAAAAACACTTCTGGTAATATTTGTGAAAAGAACATTATCCTTACAACCAAAATAACAACAACCTAAATCTAAATAAGTCATCTCGGGGGGGGGGGTAGGGGTAGGGGGGTAGGAATACAGCTGATGTCTTAAGCTCTCGACTGGAACATCGAAGGTCTTGAAAAAAATACGTATATACGTTATTTCATAAAAAATTATGATTTTAAGATATTTTATAATTTCAATGTGATTCCTACATCCTATCATACACAAATATGTTACTAATTTATAATTTGAAAGCAAGAAAATGGTATTCAAACAGCTCTCTTTGCCAGGCTGTTCCAATATGATCTTTCGCCAGCCCTGGCGAACGTTCGCCAGGCATGATTTTAAAAGTACGAAATTCCGGATCGCCCGGCGAAACCCTTCACCAGCCCTGGCGAAAGGTTTTTAAAGTACGGGCCTAAGGTATGTAAAGCTCTCTGCAACTTCAGTATCCTCACCGCAAGCACGTACCAACTGAACAGGTTCTTCTAGCAAGCCCCTAAAGTCCTGGATAAAAGCTTGAAAGGACCCCACTGCACCTTACAGCACTTTCAGTACCAATATACAGGCTTGCTATTAACCCAATAATCCTTGTTGGGAATCCTGTCAGTCTCAGGATCTCCAGGAGTGATTCATGATGCACCTTATCAAATGCCTTCTAGAGGGATGGGAAAACTATCAGGAAAACTACCACATATCACCCATAAAAAAGAGAAGGTAAACAAGATTACTGGTTGAGACTTGCAAGCCTATTTTTATGCACACTATGGTTATCATATGAATGTATTGGAAACTTCCTGCCACTCTTGCTCAACTCTGACTGGTTACCACGTGGACAACAATTAAGGTATGTTAGCAGGCACTGCAGATAACAGAAAAGGCCCATTGAGCACTGCTTGGCCAAATGAATGGCACTTAAAAACATGAAAGTTAACCTTTCTGCATATGAAGCATGTCTTAGTATTAACTTTTACCAAAAAACATGAATGGTTGAATTTCATTACCTACATTTCCTTGTTTACTATTCCACAAATGTATGTAAACTATTTTTGTTGCCTACTATCATGACCAAAGGGATTTTAGCAGGTGGTAGGGCAAGAGCATAGAGAGATAAGATGTTTGTGAAAAGAATGTAACTTCTTGGCAACATAGGAAATCAGTTGTTAAATAAAGATTTTATTATCTCGCACTTATAAAGCATCTGAAATTGACAGATTTAACAAATCATACATAGGATACAGTACGGTTTCTTTCTGTACAAATTCACTTACACACCACAGAGTTACAGCTACATCATTTTAACTAGCTTCAGTCAATATATTTTAAGAACATTGAATTTACAGGACAAGATTGAATAAAGCTTTGTGTGTACATATATATATGTATAAATATATTATCAATATAGTACATTTTTTAGAACAATATTAATGATCCAAATTCAATGAGTACTGCATATTACTCGAGTGATTCAGCAAGTTACCACAGTCATTTAACAAATACTTGTGTAACAGAGAAGCAAGAAAGAACTAATCTTAAAAATTATATCAATATATGTGGCCTGCAATTACCACAATAACAGTATTGACTTACTTAGCGCATTAAAGCTAAAATGCAGCAAGACATAATGCTTCCATAAACACAGTATATTATAAGCATGGACAATATTTTCAGAAAATGTATGGCCCAATCTGATATCCACTTAATTTAATAACATAATTCACATTTTCCTTCAATAGTATTGAAAGCTTATACTGTATTGCAAGTGTTTCTATACGTTGAAATCTTGAATATTTGGCTATTAATACGATATCATTTGCTAGCCCATTGCAATAGCAAGATATTTATACAGTATTCACACACCCAAGGACATGTTACACTTCCATCCATTGCCACAGAGTATATTCTGATAGTACTCAGAAATGAGGATAAGCTTAATCCACTGCCGCAGGAGATGGTATGTACGTAAATGGCACGTCTACTATGATTTTAGTTAATTAATTGTTTCTGCAGAGATGGTTCCACAAATGCTTTGTCACCAAGGAGTGAATTACTAGTCCTACCTGTCCCACCTGTCTGCCTTTTTCCTTGATTTTTAAAAGCTTGTTGTTTTATATATTGCTATTAGTATTGTTAATAACATTAAAATATTTCAAAGGTAAATAATAATAATAATAATAGTAGTATTGATATTGATATTAATAGCATTAGAAAAGAACATTTTTCCAAAACACTCCAAGAAGGGGGAAATTAGGGTGTCATTTTAACCTACTAATTAACTCCTTGATTGTTGAGCAGCTGTGGAGTCAATCTGTGTGTGTGTGTGTAAGAAAGAAAGAAAGAAAGAAAGAAAAAAAAAAAAAAAAAGACTACTACTACATTACATTTTCCTGGCGGTAATGGATTATGTTATAACTCACATCCATCTTATATAAATACAAAATAAGGAAACATGATAGAACATGTTTTGGCGAAAAAAAAAAAAAAAAAAAAATCTTCCCAAGGACTCCAATGAATTATTCTTTTCAAATAATGAAAAACAGTAAAAGCAAAATTAATATAAATATATCAAATATTTAATAAAATGAACACTATCCTAAAATAAATCATTCCAACCCAATTGTGTTTGATAAATTGATACCATATCAATGTGCAGCAAAATACTGTGATCTCAATTTGTTCAAACATAACATTCTGTAAACCTTTGGTGAGAAAAAAAGAAGAAAATTATATCAAAATCAATTGCGTAACCTTTGAAAAATGTCCATCAAAAGGTATTAGACTCTGGTAAACTCCACGCACTAGAATAATGAAAAATATCTGTTCATTGGAAAAGACATTTCCCTGCCTAAATACAATATTAATAGTGCCGTTTCATAAATTAAGCAGTACTACAGGTCACACGGCTGACCATATACCATGTACATTAAACCAAGATGTGTGATTACATTCCTGACCAACTAAAAGCTTAACAAAAAGATCCTCATCTACCCCATATACTGGCCCCTTGTAAGATTAACTGAATATGATTTTAAGTTTTTGGTATTCCTATATCCTTGAACCAAAAAATACTCTCCCTTACACTGAATTCCTTAAAGAATGAACATTTCAAATATAAAGTTTAACCTCCTTTCTTAATCCTTTTTAGGTAACTTCCTGAAATAATGAGACACCATCATCTGCATAATGCAAAATACCTCAAAAGCTCTACAAGTTGTATCACCTTTAGTAGAACACAATACTGTACTGGAAAAATAGAATATCCTACATTATTTCTAGTATCAATAATTTATTTGACAGATATAAGATCTACAATGCATTATCACTGTTAAGTTTTAACAAGTACCAAAATAATAATCAAAATAATGATTGTGCCTGAAAGCCCTAAAATGCACTTCATGTTGCGATTCTTACGCTGATAATTTTCTGCTTTCTTCAGCTGCTTGGCACCATCTTCGACTTTCAGAGCAGCATGCTCTACATTGAAGTCTATTCTATCCAAAATTGTTCCCTGTATAAAGAAAAGGTAAATCACTGTCAAGAAAAAAGTTATATGACCATACACTACCTGTCAACATTCACTCACATATTGTGAAATGGTATCCTCTCTCTCTGTCAAGATTATTGACAGAAATTGACTACTTAGTATCCCTATCCTTCTTCTTTACATCCACCCACAGCCAGACAGCAATGTTTACTTTTCCAGGTGCCTCATATGTGGGACACGCATTGTAAGTGGGTTAAATTAAATTATATTAAATTAAATTAAATCACACTGAATTAAAAGATGGAAAAAAATATCTATAAATGTATGTATATAGACATATAGATCTATGTGTATGCATATACACATATATATTTTCTCATTCTTCTTTGTACAAAATGTTAGTCACATATATGTCAATAAATCATGCCTATAAACACACTGCCCAAATTGCTGACTAAGGTTGGCTGTAGGGAAGATGGCTAAGGGTGCAAAGAAATCAATTTCTCTCTGTCAGTTACTCCAGCTGAGATAGAGGTAGGGTGTTTTATCACACAATGGGAGTGTTGCCAGGCACTCTGGATGATGGTTAGTGTTAAGTTGTATGAAATGGTCTATACAAAAATGAAAAATGTAAAAGGAGGAGAAAAAAATCAAAGAATGGGACAACGTTTAATCTGCCCTCATAGTTTGAATTCAATTCCCTAGTTTGATTATGAACAAAGTCCTATGTGGATTTTCTACACAATGCAAAAGATATGAGAAATATGAATGACCAGGTAAGACACTCCCATAACTAAAGGGACTCTCACACATAACTGGCATTCTTTATAAATACTTTTACTATCACATTTAGTAAAAAAAGAGGGAGAAAAAAAAAATCCGTTACCTGATCGGTAACCAACTGCGCAACATCCCGGAAGAGTTGATTCAGTTGTATTGTAGACTGTAAAATATGTTGAACTGTCCGATCCCGATCCTGAACTGCTTGAGTGTTGTCAGCCAGAAACATGAGTTGCTCTTGTGTCCAGGCCCTGAAGAACACAGATAATGATAATAATATGATAATCATACTATGTACAAATACTTGCCTTTTACCTTCCTTAGCTCTACTGGCTGCTTAGCCTCTATTAATTATAAGTTATTAATTCAGTCCTTACATACAACACATCCCACTCATCTGAATTTAGATGTCTTTATATACATTTAACATATTTGCTAAGTCCCAAATAAAAGTAGTTAGCATATGATCTAAACAAACCAATCAATATATGGTTGTATTTATTGTACAAAAATACCTTACTTTGCAATTGCACTACCCATCAAGAACTAAAGATTGAAAAAATACTAAAATTTTAAGCAAAATTTAGTTACAGATATTGCTTCCTTAATTAACACACCAAAACATAAATAAATTACACAAATATAAACAAATCAAAACTTTTGCAAAAGCACTGAATTACAAAAACAAAACAAAAAATAGTGTCAATAATTCTGACTATTTCAAAGTCCAGAGATCATAAATAATTTCATAAAACAGTGCATGTAGAATTGTGTCAACCATCTGAATTACCATCGCAGTACATGTATCTGTATGTCAGCTCCTCTAGCCTCATCTATACCTTTGTTTACCTCATAAAGCATAAATCCAGAAGCTATGAATCAAAAGCTGATCCAGTGGCAACACAAGCACATATCTACTTACTGGTGTCTAGAACTGGATCCATCTTCAAAAGTTCCATAATCATTGTCATAATCACCTCCTCCCTCATGTACAAAGGAACTTGTCTTTTTTATGTTGTTCATGGCTGCAGAAAGTCAAATAAAAAGGTTTACATGTGCATTTGTGCATGCATGATTGTGTGCAAGTGTATGGTCTTGTGAAGTATTACACACCCTATCAATATATAGCTAATTTCAAAATAATGATAATTAACCTGACATATCTTACAACTTGTAAAAGCTGAGCAGGTTGTCATGAATTCGTTCTTTACTTCCTGAAGCGCAAACCCAAGTGCCCGAACAACATTCTTGTTTAGGGTTTCTTCTCGACCTCTTGCAGCTGCATGTTTTATCTGGATCATCAACATCTGGCATCTCTCAAGGGTCTGCAGACATTATATAAGACCTTGAATTAACAGCAATATCCCAAAAGTTAAAAACAACATATTTGATTAAATAAAAAATATAGTAATAACATGAAAATACAAAAAATCTCTACTTTCATAAAATTCTCACTACCAACACATATAATGGCACTGCTATTTTTTTTGCTGGTTTCCTTATGCAAATCAACTATGATATTGTAATCAATGGGAAGCACAAGATCCAAATTTCTACATGCCATAAAACAGCCCAACACATAAAATCTATATCAAACAATTAAAACAATGGCAAAAACACTTCCTTACCTTGCATTTTAGAAAGGTTTACATGATAAATTAACTATCCTTCAATCAACTACACCCTCTCTAACGACTTAAGTTCTTGAAGTGTAAACTTGAGAACCTACAACTATCAAGACCATAAGATATGTATATTCTTAAAGTCACTCTAAAATCACCTGCCTGTAGCTCTCTTTATACAATATTCATAACACATTTCATATGAATAACTATGGCTCAAAATCACTCATAATTGTATTTTATTTTAAATATCTAATAAATAATACATAAAGCTTATGGGATGTCGACAACCACTATTAAACTAACAATCTTTTTATCATAACATTAAGTACACTAAAAGTATGCTGTAATCTGGAAAAATAGGAAAAAAAATAGTTAGGAGACAATTAGGAGACACTTTTTCAAGCACTTTTTGTTAATTGCTGAACTGTTTCATGCTATTCTTATCTATCAGCATCCATATATATTAATCAAAGCCTACAAAGCATTTTGTGTATAACTTCAACACTAACTCCACAGCTAATCATGCAAGGCTCAGTGCTCAGTAATTCTAGCAATTTTTGTCGCCTCACATGAAGATTATATGTCACTGAAGGTGAAGAGTCGTCAGTATAGGTAACAAATTACGATTTTTTCAAACTTTGTGTGTGGATACATGAGCATGTGACGCACCCCGGGCGCCGGTTGCCAGATACATAAGGCGCTCCTTTCCGCGGTTTAAATGTCTTTAGTATCTAAATGCCCTCGTCCTGCCACATCCCTTTTTGCTTCATGCATTGTTTTTTTTTTTGTATTTTCAGCATTTTTTGGGCTGCTTTTGCAAATTTCTTTGGTTTGTACGATAGTTTAGGCTGCGTTCAGCAGGCAGGCAGCAGCAGCAAGGATAAAGTTTTCGGGAGTACATGTTTTGTTTTCAACCTGTTGAAAACCTGTCAATGTGTCATTTATATATAAGAAATGCATATTATATGATTTATGATGTACTATGATATGTAAATGAAAGGGAACCAGGAGCCTTGACATCTGAAAGTATACTTTTCAGAGAACACTCCCACCTAACCTAACCTAACCTTTACATAAAGATGACCTACAATTACCTGAACAAGGCCTGACCCTCTACCACAGGACTCCTATTAAAGGCCAAGGAATTATCTAAGTAGATATTCATATTTGGTAATCATTGGTATGACCTTTATGGTATAATGAAGATGAATGACAAAAACTGTTATTTTCTCAAAATCATATTTTCATGCATGATAGTAAGATTAACTTTGTATGCAATTACGCAATTTTAATCATTCTTGTTGCAAAATGATCGTCCAGTTCGCTTCTACTAACTGTGGCTAAGTCATACATTATTTCCACCAAATACATTTTTACTGAAAAAATCAATGGCGATTTTCTGACGAAAAAAAATCACTTTTTTTGCAAGGTAACTGAAACATTGTCGTTTCAGATAGATTTACATAAATGCTACATTTGGTACTCCTAATTGTTGACTAACTCTGGTCAGAAGGAAACTGCAGTACTATTCACTATAAGGAAACAATTACATAATTTGTGAATTCTATCATCTTGCTCGTTTTTTTTTTCTAGTGCAAAAATTTACGCAGCTTTTTAAAATTTAATTTGTTGTGCTCAAACATCACATATCAATGCACATTGTGTAAAATTATTAATGACCTAGCTAAAAAACTAAAGCAAGGAGGACCGGATAACGAATTTCGTGATCGTACCGATGACTCCTCCCCTTAACGAAGACGAGTTCATGTGTAAATAACCTTCTGTATTTGACTTAAGGGGTGCGTCACGACGAAAATTTTCAAAAATACTCGAAAAATTGAAAAAATCTCCTGTAATCTCGTGACGTAATATTTTTGCTAAATATGTAAAATTATAGGAGTTGTAACTAAATCTCTGACCCCCCCCCCCCCCGCCTCCCGCTCCTATGTTTACATTGTCGCGTTCGTGAAAATTTACTTGACAAATTTGTTTTTTTCCATATTTTTTTCAGTTTATTTTGGCATTCTCTGGTAGCTAGCTGGCAACTCTGTTTACCCATCAGCTGATCGCCAAGACTGGGGTTCTGGGAGAAAAAATTCCACCAGAAAATCAGAGAGAAAGGTTGCCAACCTACGGCCTCATCACATAGTAAGGGTACACTACTAACTGTAGATGTTAGTTTCGTATATAATAAAGGTAATATGATAGGAAATACTTCTAAATCATAACTGCAGCAGTTGTTTATACATTTAAATACTTCACGTGGTCAGGTTAGGCACCACAAAGCATGTGGTGAAACAGGCATTTCCACAATCATTTGCAGTTTTTGCCATTTTTGTCTCCCCCTTTGCAAAAGGGGGAGACCATGTACCAGCTACACTTCAAAATACCATGTGAATGCAATAGAAAGCAGCAAGATTGCCACAGAGATTAGAATTCTAAAAAAAAGAAAGAAAGAAAAAAAAAAAAAAAATCGAGGGAAATCCAACATTTCTGAGCCCATTATCTCAAAACTACACTTTTGTCAACATTTGTCAGCATTTTTTAATTCATCCATAAATACTTGGATGATTCTAATGGGGTTTGGATCGTTTAAAAGCTGAATATATTTGTAATAGTTTTCTTAGAGGAAATTTTCATTTTAGGTAATAGTATTCTATATATCATATTGTGATGTTCATAAGACTGGGCATTTAGAAAAAATTAAATTCCCACTAATCTAAAACGAAATTTAAAACTCCGGTCTTTGCAAATTTTAGGTATTGCTATAGACTATTGGTGGTAATTTTTTTCAACAAGTTTGTTCAATGGATTTTAAAGAGGCTGTGATTGTTCAAAAACTATTAGCCAAATGATATGAAACTTGGTAGTGTTTATCACTTTACATCTATATATAACATATTAAAAAATCACGAATATCCAATCATAACTGACGAATTTTGCTCTCGAGCGCGACGGCCCCCTTAAATACATGCACACACACACACATATATATACAAATATATAAATATATATATATATATATATATATATATATATATATATATATATATATATATATATATATATTTATGTCTTGTTGAGAAATGAATATTGTCCAGCTATCTACTCACTTCATCTAGCAGAAGCCTTTGCCATTCTTTCCCTCTGTATGATTTACTTTTAACAGTGCAAAAGCTGGCTACGGGAATGTAATCACTACAAACTGGAATGCTAATCGTATCATACTCTCACATAAGTTAAAAGCCATAAAATTAAAAGAAAAATTTATCATATTCAAATGTAAACCCTTTGTTTTGTGACTCTTTTGCTAAAGTAACAGCTGGCATGAAATATAAAGATCTCTATATCAAACAAAGATATTACTATTACCTTGAATTATTTTAAGACAGAGCCATAACTATTTTCACGGAAGAAAGAAAATTTATGAAGATGAGAATAAATATTAGAAAGGAACACCTACACAAAAATTCTACTACAAAATCTGTTTCCATACTATCTACTATCTAATTTTCTAAGTCTTTTGCATATATCTAGTGAGGTACCATAATGATACTGGTAATTGGAGGCTCATTTGCTTAATTTTTTATAGTGCATATACAAGAGCAATTCCATAAAGTCAGAAAAGTTGAAATTATTTTTTTTTTCATATGTGAGAGACATTATAAATAAACCTTTATCTCCTTGTTTAGGCTTAAATCTGCATAACTTATGGAATATGAAGCAAATTAAATGCCAGTACCACCTAAAGACTAATACGTACTGATACAACTCATATTCAATTGCATACCAAGAAATGTCTACTAAAAAATCATAAAAATCATCACATAATCCGGGAAACTGACCCTTCTGATCTCATTGTTGTGTGCAGTTAGTTGGCGTTCCTCTTCGGTGTTGTCATCCAGTGATGGTCGACGCACTAAATTACTCTGAAGTGCTGCAACACGCTTTGTTTTTTCTCGCAGTGTGACAATGTTGTACTGGACCTCTTCCACCATCCCTGCCCAGTCTGGCAGATGACCGTCGCTTAGCCCTCCTACTCCATTCTCTACCTCTTCACTCACAAC